ATTCTCCAGAGTTCTCTTCTCCTTTCTTCTTCTTCTTCACGTGGAAGCCAAGAGCCAAAGGTAAGTTTCTTTGTTTATAAATGAATTGTTGATTTTAAGGTTGGGTTTTGATTATTAGATGATAACTAAGCTTAAGAAAAATTAATCATCTTAAAAACAAAGGATGGTGGAATTAGGAGAGATTAAAGATTTTGAGTTTTTGAATGAAATCTTGAAATAAAGTTGATAAGTTGAATTTTAAGTTGAATTTGACTTGTCAATAGTTAAATTAAGAGATTTGGAGTAATAGAATTGGATTTGAAATATATTGCAGAATTGATGTAATTATTGAATTACATATGGAAGATAGGATTTTGAGGTTTAAGATGAAATAAATGAATATAGATTGGTTTAAGTATGTGTACTAGAGTTAAGAATGAAAAAGGGGATGATATATGGTGTTTGAGAGGAAATGAAGTAATTTTCGTGCTGAAAAAATGATTTCTGGGTTAGGGGGAATCGGTACCCATTCAAAGGGGTACCGATACCCTCTCAAACGACAGAATTCCAGAATGTCAAGGGGGAACCGATACCCCCACAGGAGGGAACCGATTCCCCCTAAAGGAAAATTGTAAATATTGGTTTAATAAGTTCGTTTAAGATGCTAGTATCAAATTACAAGGTGTAGGTATCTAATAATTGTCTTAAAATGTATAATTATGTAGATTCAGAGCTTAAACGAGTTCCGGAATCATTGACAAGTAATATCGATAAAAAGGGAAGATAAGAGATTGGAATGGACTAGTGAGGCCAGGTGAGTGCAATTTCATTGTACTTATGTTATCGAATAAGCATTGGCTTGCAATGAGCCAGTGACGAAGTTACTATGGTAATAACTCTTAAAATGTTATTTGATTTGTGAATTTTATGTATGCATGAGTATATGTGACATGATTATATGATTCATATGATATGTGATACTGAACTACATGAATATATGAGAATATTATATCAGTTGTGTGATATGTTTGACATGTTATTTTATGTGATACGTGTTTACATGATCACAAGACATGAGTTATATGAAAGAGAAAGTATATATGATATGTGAAAGTGAATCCTATGTTTATATGAATATGAACTCATATGAGAATGGATATGAACTACGTGATTACATGTATATGTGAAGGAAACCATGAGATTATATGAATATATGATATGGTTACATGAATATGTAAAAGGATATAAAAGATAATGCCCATGCTATGTGTCATGAGAGCTAGGGGTATAGTTGGCATGCCAAGAGTCGAGGGTCTATGTGGTCCTTCGGGACATATATGTATTCTTTGGAACATGTATGAAGTTTGGTGAGACACATACTTGATCCTTGGCATATGTATATGATTCTTAAGGAATGATATGTGGTCCTTCGGGACATATATGTATTCTTTGGAACATGTGTGAAGTCTGGTGAGACACATACTTGATCCCTAGTATATGTATATGATTCTTAAGGAATGATATGTGGTCCTTATGGACATTATTATATGGCACTACGATGCAATTATTATATGGCACTACGGTGCAATTCTACGTGGCACTCCGGTGCAATTATATGTGGCACTTCGGTGCAATTATATGAGCTGTGGTGACAGCATTAGTGCACAACCTCTATGTACTCGCATATCTTTAGTTCTCACATGAGTATCATGGGCTATTAAATAGATAATATTAATAAAATGATATGATAATATGTTTGTTTCCTTGTGGAATTTCATGGGTAATATTGATTGTACAAATGGTAACTTATAAGACCATATGATGAAAGGAATCAATGATAGTGATAAAATAAGAAAGAAATGAAGATGATAATATAATTGCTTGGGTGTACGTGTTTTATGATAGTATATATATATATAGTGTACACGACATGATATGTATATGTGCAATTGGTTATGGTATATGTTATATGATATGGACATAAGAGATCATAGGAACATGAGATAAGAGATATGAATAATAACGACATATATGTATGCATATATTTGTTACATGTAAAAGTATGAGTGGTATGAAATGATAGTAGTAATTGTTTAGGTATGATTATTATTTACCGTTTACCTTATATGTTTATATGCCTCACTAAGTCTTTGACTTAGCGTGTAAGTGATTTACACGTAGGTTTCGAGAAGAGTAAAGAGCAATGTGGAGCAAGACAGGTCAGTTCTTCTTACTAAAGGTCAGATCAGAAAAGATGTGAATAATAGGTATTTTAGTATATAAAGTTCTAGTAGGCATGTTTTCAAAAGAATCTATTGTTAAAGCTATGAACCGTTTTATAAATGTTTCGAATAGTTATATGTAAATAATAAGTGAAAGATACATGCTCTGATTGGTTTTGTAATAATGAAAATGTCTTTTATGTAAATTAGTTATTTATATGTTATAAAAGTTTTAAATTACTCACTATTTTATACAAGTACATGTTTTTAAAAGTCAATGTGACACCTCGGATTCGTATCCGGGTCGGATACGGGTTGGGGTGTTACACTTTCTCTCTGTCCAAGTGACATATGTAAAGGTAAGTCCTTTAAGCTTTATAATTCATCCTTTAACCCTCCAGCATCACCCTCTATGTTTAGAATCTCATAATTTTTCTTATTGGCAAGATAAAGGGCGTGGAAAGCTTTTTAGTTCAAGAAGAGTGGGAGGAAGTAAAGCTTGTTGAGAAATTAGCTTCATTTCAGGTTCCTAACATCAATGTAGTATATTTCTAATCCTTTGTAGTGTTAAGGCTTTCATAAGCATGATGATTTGTTAATATTTGAATATTTGAACATTTTAGGTTTTATGCTTGATTTCATGATTAAATAACATTTTTTATATAAAGCATGTGTTTTTATTACACTTTGTGACCTTAAGTAACTTCCTAATGCTTTAACACATGATTAGGAACAAAAATAAGATATTTGGGTATTTTTTGTGTTTCCCGAGCTTAAACAAGACATTTATAGTTCAAGTATCGATATTGGATGAACAATAACAATACTAGATGAACTGGGACGAATTTTGTTACAACTGAAGTAACCATACTAAGTGTATTAAGTTCAAGTATCTTCAATCAAGCACATATCGAATAATTAAGAACAATGATCATTGTAGAGAATGTACTGACAAGTAATACAATAAGTAAGCCAGATTACACAATAGTGTAATAATGTAATTTGGGAATGCTAGTGAACCGATAACGTATAAGTCGTCCCTCCAATTCAAGGGGTATTGAAGAAATTTATGATAAAAGCGAATAGAGTGTTGCTACTCAGTAATGAACTCGAATCATGTATCAGACTAGAAAGTAATACAACCAATAAACAACAGAATCAGTAACTATCGTAAAATCATAAAACACATAGAGACCTCTTAGAGATAGACATGACTATGACACCTTTAAGTAACGAATGACTAGATTAACGAGTATATCGTTGAGCTTTGTAAGCTCAGCGTTAAGATGTTTTCCGTTTATAGGTTATTAGCTTGAGTCGTTCACGGAGCACCATTGCTGCAGGACTTCTAGCATCTCTTCTATAGTATTTTACTGTAGCTTTAGTGAGCATATATATTTATATGACCCTTAGTATAGTATTCAGACTTATAACTCGGAGTTGCATTATTTTGATTTTAAACTATATGTAACGAAGCTTCGATTTATAAAAGTGTTTTTATAATTGTCACGCATGTCTAGTTTGATACCATTTAATATGTTTTGAAATGAAAATGAACAATTTTTGAAAATCAGGAGTTGCCTCAATAGCCCAATGTGACACTTTAGGCCCAATCGGGTTAAAGGTGTTACACATAATTAGGATAATTCTCTATAATAATTGAAACAAAATTAGCAATTTAAGATCACATAAGAACCATACAAGGAAAAATTGAAATCTAATCAAGAAACTCGAACAAAGATAAATAAAAACATATTTGATCGTATCAGTAAATGAACAAAAAAAAAGATCAAGTTACTAAAAGACCGCTGACAAATCATAAATCAGACTCGAGCGACGTGAAAAACTATTCATAAATGCATAACGATTATCCAAATCTAAAACATAAAAGATTAACAATATAACTTATAACCGTCAAATTGACCAGTCATAACAATGTCAAATTAACCCTTAAAAAAATAAGTGAAAACATTGATCAAACAACCAAAAAAACTTGCCAAAAGATAGAAAAGAAGGGTGCCATAAAGACAAATAATGATGTGTCATATAAACAGACTTGTTGAAAATTAAAAACCAAAAGAAAAATAAATATGTAATATAAGAAAACAAAAGGACAATAAATAATATTGATGGTCGTCAATCAACATTAAAATTAATGTCGTCATCGATTAAATATGAAAAGAAAAAGGGACGAATGACTTACGAATGAGAGAAAACAAAGAGAGAAAATTAAGAAATATTACTCTTTTTAGAGGTTATGAGATCAAATAGTTACATTTGCAATGTTTATATATTATTAATATATATTATATTTTTTTAAAAATACTATTTTATAAACAAATCATATCATTTAAAAAAAAACATAAAAGTAGAGGGCTCCAAATCTGTTTGACTGTCTAATCCATATTAGCCCGCTTCTGGTTGGTCCTCTGTCCATTCACCCTGCTTTTGGGCTATACGGCAATTATCACAGTTTGACCTTTGACTCTTTTCATTTGCATGAAACTTCATTTCACTTAACCCCAAATAAAATATTTCTCTTTTACACCAAAAATATATACTCTCTTTAAAAATTAACAATAAACTTCCACCCTTCTTTAATGTTACAAAGCTCCTCCGTTTATGCATTTATTTCGTAAGAGTAAATCCAATTTAGTGCTTTCCACTTTCCGCTCCTTTTTCGCTCAAGAAGATTTCAATCCAATTTATTCTTGATTTAACAACCTGTATCTGTTGAACCCAATTAATTAGAGTGTCATAAGTTAACTCTAATTTCAAAGCCTTTTCATTAAGTAGCTACCTCAAGTGAGAAAGAAAGTAGATTTATAATTTCTTTCTTGGAAAGCCAACGCAGAAAAGAGAGATTGAAGAAGGAAAAGGGGTTCGGACTCCATGCCTGACTCTCACCATCTTCTCTTGTTCCTTCCATCTGTTATGTCTCTGATTCTCTTCTTCATCCTCATCAAGAGAAAGCAAAGAAGGTATAATCTTCCACCAGGGAACATGGGGTGGCCTTTTCTGGGTGAAACCATCGGTTACTTGAGGCCTTACACTGCTACCTCAGTAGGTGAATTCATGCAAAACCATATCTCAAGGTAAACTTTATATTTTCGTAGGGAAAAAAAACAGAACATTTCTCTTATGTTTTGATTGAATTCATCATTTTTTTCAGGTATGGGAATATCTACAAATCAAACTTGTTTGGTGAGAAGACAATAGTGTCTGCAGATGTTGGGCTGAACAAGTTCATATTACAAAATGAAGGAAGATTATTCGAGTGCAGTTACCCGAGAAGTATTGGTGGCATTCTTGGGAAATGGTCGATGTTGGTTTTAGTTGGAGATATGCATAGAGACATGAGGATTATATCACTCAATTTCTTGAGCAACGCCAGGCTGAGGACTCATCTTCTGAGAGAAGTGGAGAAGCATACTTTGCTTGTTCTAAGTAGTTGGAAAGACAAGTGTGTATTTTCATTTCAGGATGAAGCAAAGAAGGTAAGCTTTTCTTTCTTTTTGACTTGAACAAAAACTAAAATAAAGCTGGCAGCTTATGTTTAAAAGGAGTTTGTTTTTTGCAGTTCACGTTCAATTTGATGGCAAAAAATATCATGAGCATGGACCCTGGACATCCCGAGACCGAGCAGCTCAAGAAAAGAATATGTTACTTTCATGAAAGGAGTGGTTTCTGCTCCTCTCAATTTACCTGGAACTGCATACAGAAAAGCCTTACAAGTAAACTAATGTCCCAGATTTATAACATGCTTCTCTTGTAAATTATGAACTGTGAATTTGAAGGTTGCTTTTGTTTGGCAGTCTCGATCAACAATCCTAAAATTTATTGAAAGAAATATGGAAGAGAGAATAAGGAAGACCAAGGAGGGAAAAGAAAACCCCGAGGAAGATGATCTTCTTGAATGGGTTTTAAAGCATTCAAATCTTTCGACAGAGCAAATCCTGGACTTGATCTTGAGCTTGCTTTTTGCTGGACATGAAACTTCATCAGTAGCCATAACCTTAGCCATCTACTTCCTTCCAGGTTGTCCCATGGCCATTCAACAGTTGAGAGTAAGCAAACTACCCGTCCCACTGTTTGGTTTTTTGCAAAATCTCTTCTTTCTTTCTTTAACATAAAACTGTGATCGCAGGAAGAACACCTTGAAATTTCCAGAAGCAAGAAGCAATCAGGGGAGATTGAACTCAACTGGGATGATTACAAGAAGATGGAGTTCACGCAATGTGTAAGCCAAGCTCTCTCTCGCTTCTAAAGTTGTTTTGGATTCCATATTAATTAATGTCTTATTATATTTGTGCAGGTTATTAATGAGACACTTAGGCTTGGTAATGTCGTCAGATTTCTGCATAGAAAGGCACTTAAAGACGTTCGGTACAAAGGTAAGTTAAAACATCCGAAGAAGCTTTTAGTTAAAAAAAATGGAGGTTGAATTTTTGGATTATTATTTTTTTTTTGTGTGGAAAAGGGTATGATATTCCATGTGGGTGGAAAGTGCTACCAGTGATTGCAGCAGTGCACTTGGATCCCACTCTTTTTGACCATCCTCAACGCTTCAATCCATGGCGATGGCAGGTTACTCATTACTCTTCTTCATTTTAACACCCTTTTTTTATAGAAAATAAAATAGACTATCAAATGAATTAAATTTGGTCGTAGTTAACTCATGAGTGGTCAATTTTATCACTATTTTGTAACCAACTTAGATTATGTTGTCTACAAATAAGACACAAAAATGTGTAGTCTAAACTCCTTATACTTTGACTTTAGATGGATAAAAATATATACACATTTCGTAGCACTTGACAAAAATAAACAGGATAAATAAATAGTTTTAACTATAAAAATATATTTAAAAAGAAACATTAAACATACTTTTTAAATTAAAAATTAAAGACACATGAAAATAGTTGCCATCTTTTTAAAGGGAAAACATTTAGAGCTGTCGATCAAGCTATTTATAAAAAATATTAAAATAATGCCTAAAAGAATGAAACATTAATTAAATATATTTAGGCAATGCAAGCACAGGGTCAGAATTAATGATTAAGAGGGTACCGTGGATTTGATGATCAATAATAAATAAAATCTTTTGGACAATAATACCTACTGTTTCTTTGCTTTTATGTTCCTTAGATATTAAAGTGTATATTATTCTGGGAGAATGATAGCGTTACCCATAATCTGTATTTTATTTTCCCTTTTAGTAGAACATGGACACATATTTTCATCATTGTCAGCGGTGTGGAAATTTGATGGGAAATTTGCATATAAAACATATAAATCAGGTGGGGTATGCGAGAACCACGCATCTATTGTTATCTTTGAAATTTTAGGTTCGAACAAAACCGTCGATCAACACGACACGGCAAGTAGGCATAGGAAGATATCTGAAAGATAATCTATGATCCGATCCTCTAAACCCATGAACTGTCATCATCAATAGACCTCCTCCGTCTCCTTGTGCCAATGCTGTACGGACGTCGGCCTCCCACGTTAAATCAAAGAAAATGGGAAAATATATTAGAAGCAAAACCCAGACAGTAAATTGTAAAAGATTGAGCAGAGCAGAGCAGAGCAGGCCACTGCTTTTGGGGTCTGGGTCTTGCCTCGTGCGTGTTGGGGTGGGGATTAAAGCCAACCCCCATGTGGCTGTGGGGTTCTCGCCCGCACGTGCTGGCTGGTCGATAACACAGAAGTGCAATTAATGACTAATCCCCTCTTGCTTACCAACGGTGTATATGATGCTATATATATGTTGTTTTGTTGAACATGGGTTTTTTTTAAGTATGTGGATTATTGATATAATATTGACTTTTGATATAGCAAAATGGGTCGGTGACATCATCGTTTCCGAGCGATTACTTCATGCCGTTCGGGGGAGGACAACGGCTGTGTGCAGGGACGGAGCTGGCTAAATTGGAAATGGCTGTATTCATTCACCATTTGGTCCTCAACTACCAGTGGGAGTTAGCCGACACGGATCAGGCCTTTGCTTTCCCTTTTGTCGACTTCCCTAAAGGCCTACCCATCAGAGTCTTCAAATATTAAAACAGACGTCTCAGCCGCTCGTGTTGGATATAGGCATTTATAGTTTAACACCAACCTGCCTACTGTCCTTGAAGACCAGACGATAATGGCTCTCGTATTTTTCAACTTCTTAGGTACATGAAGAAAAGGGCAAGACAAACGGATTCAAAGTACCATGTTTATATTCATATTAATGTAAATTTTTTATTTTATTTTGGTCCCTCCCGAGAGCTAGCAATTAGTTAATTTTACCTCTCGCTTTTTTTTCATGTTGTTTTTGCTTATTTTGTAATATTATTTCTACTTTTTTTCCTGCTCTTGGTTGTCAAGAAAAAAAAAATCAATCCATGCAAAACACGTTAGTAGTACATTAATTAATATTACTCTTGTTTTTATTTTGTTGAAGATATTGTCGGTTGATTTTAGATTGAGGAACATGAATATACAGAAATATTATATACCATCAAATTTTGTACAAGTTTTCTCGATTGTAATATTTATGTTATCAAATCCCAAGCAAATTAATAAAATCTCAAATCATGCAGAATAATGAAGTTCCATATTGAGGAAAGCAAGTGTGAGGATGGACATGAACAAAGCACATGCATACTGATTGGAACCTTCCAAAATCAACTAATTCCCCCAATCACCTAATTCTAAAATCCAAATATATCCCACAGTTTTCAATAAAAGGAAGTTAGCCAACGACCCAAATGAAAATGAATAATGGATAATTTAAATGATACCATACCTTGATAACCTACAGTATATATACATATATATTCTTGTTAAAGTGGATGGATTGGGTGAGCAAAGCGTCACCTGTGCTCTACCCTGTGCGCCTCGATGCTCGATCTCATCCTGGTTAGGTTTCCTTTCATTTTCCAATGCGTTATATATGTTTGATGTTATGCCTCAATGATTTCAATTTCATACGTCTCTGTTTATGTCGACTGTCAAACTCAGTCTTTGGGTTTCGGTGCAACGAGGCAGTGGTGCGTGGTGCTTGAAGCTGCACGTTGGCCTTCACTGCGAGCTTTTTAGAACCATGTGTCAAACTAGTGTTTTAGTCCCTATATTATGCTCAAATTCAGACTTAGTCCCTATTTTTGAACTCGCATGATTTGAACCATCTACTTTCAGGATGTCATTAATTAATTCAGATAATAAAAGATGTTAACTACTTCGCTTCAAAATATTACTTGACTGGGATTTTTCTTGAAAATATCCCTTCAAATATATAATGTTAACATGTATTTTTTTTCCAAATGTTGGAAGGGCTGCTTTTCAAAAAAAAAAAAAATCTTCTGTCATCGTCCTAACTAGAATAATTAATTTTGTTAACAATTCTGACTAACTAATAATCTTATAAAGATAGGAAGATCAAATTGTGTTAAATTGAAATGCAATGATTAAGATAAAAAGATCAAATTGTGCTAAATTAAAATGCGATGGTTAGATATTGAAATTTAGTAAAATAGAGGAACCAAAACCAGAATTTAAGAAAGAAAAAGGATGGGTTCTGGATTGCAAAAATTTGCCTGTGGGGGAATGAGAGGTACTGAAGGGCCGACACGGGGACAACTTGGCAATTATGTGGGTTTTCATAATAGCGATGGATATATGACACCCAAAAACTTATGCCTTTCAATGACAGTAGGCCCATTGAAATTAGGCCGTAACATTCATTTTCATTAATGGACCGACCCAAACCCATTAATGAGAAAGTAACATTTCTTTTTTACTTTTATTAATACCAAAGAATGATAACATCAAAATTTAAAGATGATTTAACTTATAAAAGGTTTATTTAGTGGGATTATGTATTCAATTTTTTATATAATATTTTTTATTAAACTAATATGATCATAAAGTAGTATATGTTCTTAAATAATGTTAGGAGTTTAAATTATGTTGTTATGAATAAAGTAACTTAGATCGAGAAAGTTCACCCATAATAGACCTCTATAATACTCAATATAGACTGATCGACCAATAAATAAAAAATCAATAAACCAAAAAAAAAATTTAAGAATGATCTTTTTAAGTGTTAACAATAAGTCACAATACCAATAACACATTTATATATATTTTTTGAATTTTATATTTATATAACTTTTTAATAATTTGTTGTATATAGATTTTACATGTTTGTTTTTTCATTTATTTATTTATTTGTATATTTTAAAATTTATTATTGAATTTTGAGGCTGAATTAGAAAAATATTGATGTTGGAAAAAAATAAAATTATGGAAATTAGGATCATGAAAAATTATTTAGGAAAATAGGGTGAATTCAACGGTGATTTGTAATGTCATTGACAAATGAGGGTGAATTTGCTCCATTTTTTTTAATTTTAGAATCAAATTGTAAAAAATAAAAGTGTAGGGACTAAAATAAATTTTCTAAAATTATCTTGAAGTGAATTATTTTCGGACTCCTTCCCTAAACTTATTGCTTCATTTTATTATAGTCAACTTTTTATAAAGAAAACATTTTAGTCCATGTACTTTTAAATTTATTTCAATTTATTTAGGAAAATAGGGTGAATTCAACGGTGATTTGTAATGTCATTGACAAATGAGGGTGAATTTGCTCCATTTTTTTTATTTTAGAATCAAATTGTAAAAAATAAAAGTGTAGGGACTAAAATAAAATTTTCTAAAATTATCTTGAAGTGAATTTATTTTCGGACTCCTTCCCTAAACTTATTGCTTCATTTTATTATATAGTCAACTTTTTATAAAGAAAACAATTTTAGTCCATGTACTTTTAAATTTATTTCAATTTTAGTCATGCACTTTTATAAACCAAATTGTAAAGAAATAAAGGTGGAGAGACTAAAGTAATATTTTTTGAAGAGTAAATTACACCATTCATCATTCAACTATCTTTTAACTCATATTTTGGTCACTGAAGTTTAAAAATTTTAATTTTAATTATTGAACTTTCAAATTGCTCATGTTTCGATCACTCTACCGTTTAAATTATAAAATCTATGATGACATGAACTATTTTAATATTTTTAATATGACATGGTATTTTATTAATATTTGATGTCATATACTATTCAAAATCGAGTATCAAATTGAATGGAAAATGAGTATTCAAAGTATAGAATGCAGGTAAGTGGTATTAATTTACGTCGTGTAGTTATTTGGTAAGTCACACACACTTTCTTGTCCCTTGCCATTTCTTCTTATATTTATTGGTGTGTGGTAGGGATTTGAAGCAACGTAATAATAAAGGGAGAAAAGGAAAGGAAAACAAAAGTTTGTGTGGCAGCACTCAGCTCAGCAGGAAGAATATTATGCATTAAATAAATAGTGAGAAGGGAGAGGCAGATAAGGTGTGAAGATATGGATGTTGTTCCCCAGAGTATTACAGAATCTAAACATTTAAGAAAATAGGGTATTTGTTTGTGGTAGGTCGCAATGTCAGGTTGGAGATATAAGCATCCTGTATTGTCGCACCATAACCTCAAATATTACATTATTAAGTTTCTCGCCTTTGGGCCTACATCTGGGTATCATCTTTTGAGTTACATTCCTTCCTTTAGGCTATATTGGCTAGCTTCTGGGCCTCAACGTTCAAGTGTTGCTTTTGTTTGTTTGTTGCCCTCTTGGTTTCAAGGCTTCGCCTTGATTAATACGGATCGGCCTTCATCACACATCTGACTTTGATGGGTGAGTTACTCAGCAGAGACTTTCTGCATATACAAGGACTCAATCTCAAGACTTTGCTTAAACAATATCAAGCTACTTACCACTTGTCACTTTAATACTTCGACGGTATCTTTTAAACTTCTCCACTTTCAGCAAATTCTGCCCCAACAACACTAGATTAGATTTGATATGAATTCAATTATTTGAATTTATTTATTTAATTTGAAATTTGATAGAGATTTAAATATGATGATTTTAATTTTACTTAGAATTTAAAATGAATTGAATTGAATTAATCTTGACTCGAATTTTTAACAATATCCTTTGAGTTAAGGAGCATCATAACCTATGAATCAACTACAATGTATAAGATAAGGCCCATGATAGATCCACGTGATTTATCAGAATGAAATTTAAGATCTTACAATCATATCTATTTAGTTCATTAACCTACGAGTAATCATAATTGCGTTATGTTTGACACCAATAACTAGAGTTACTATACATACATCTTAATCACGATTGAGAATGAGATCTTCTTCAGAATATTTATCTTCTTAAGAATATTTATCTTCTTAAGAATATTTATCTTCTTATTTCCCTTTATCACATAAATTATGATCATCATTATACCGATCGCAACTCTCCGCCCAAATAAAAAAGATTAAACTATCATCGCTCGATGCAAGCCACTTGTTCCATCAACAAGAATGATGATGATGATGTGTTTAAAAAATAAATTAATAAAATTTATAAATATGAAGAATTAGTTTATTGATTTTTTTAGAGTTAAGATCAAATCAATCAACTATATAACTATTGAGGATCAAATGTACGGTTATATCAATTAAAAAAGTCACATAATCATTTTAAATAATTATTTATTTGAATAATTTAATAATAATAATAAAATCAAAAGTATTTAAAGTTAGCAAGGGATTCTTTATTATTTGGAAAGGTATATAAATTTATTAATTTATTTAGGTGTGACTTTTTTACATATGGGATTGATTATTCTCTTTGCATGCCATTTTTGTTGTGAGGTGTTCTTCTTCCTTAATTTTTGCTGTTGATTATGATTGATTCTCTTCTCCTTAGATTACTTTTCCCCCTTTGAGCCAAGAGGGGTTGATCATTGTGAATCCACCGTCAAATATTTTGAGGAGGGGATTTCGGAGTGGAGATATTCAAGATATTCGTTAGCTAGCCAATTTATTGGGACTGATCTGAATTTCGGCTTGATGGAGAAGATAACTGACATGCTTTAAGGGAAAAACTCACCGGTTAAGGTTAGTCTTGTTGGTTCTAACATGTATGTCTTCTCGTTTGTTAATTCGACTACTAGGGATTGAGTGTTGGAGAGTGCGTATGGGCAAATTCAGAATAAGCCTATTTTCTTTCGTAAATAGGAACCTAATCTTCGTAAACTAGAATTTGATTTAGTGAAAATGTCTGTTTGGATTCACTTGTATAATGAGACTCTTGAACTGTTTACCTAGCGTAGTTTGAGTTATATTGATAGTGCATTAGGCAATCCTT